TCCAAGCGCCGTCTGTCTCGTGGCCAGGGGGGTACGGTATAGGTGGTGCGCCAGCTGTTCAGTGGCTGCCAAAAGCGCACATGGCACTCAGCCGCAGGGGATACGTGGCTGCACAGGAGAGGAGTGGACGCCGGGCGGACGTAGAGTGACGTCACCGCCGTCGGTACACCAAAGGGTGGGATGGAGCTCCGACGTAGAGGCAGAGTGCCCGCCCAGGAGATTTAAAACCCCAGAAGGAGTGTAGTAAGGGGAGGGCGGTGAGGAGAGGAAGGGCACAGTCGGAGGTTGCCCGTGAAATTTGGACCCGGGGAGGGGAGGCAGACCCGAGAGGGGGACATTGCTCCTGCTCAAGGGCCGGATGCGGGGAGAGGAAGTAGCCCAGGGTGGGCAGAGGAGCCTGAGGACTGACGCGTTACGGTGGAAACCCCCGCCAGTCGGACTGGACTACGAGACTAGTCCGTGTCCTTAGGGCCCTGGGCTGGGGCCCGTGAGAGGGGGCGGGCCCGGGCCCCCCTTTTCCCTGCGACCCTCGAGGAGGGGTGTCTAAAGACTGAACGGCAGAGGGGCACATCAGCCGCAGTACCAGGTCGGACTATACGATTTCGAGACACTGAGACTTAGGGTGGGGTGGAGGGGCGCACAGAAAGGTGGGGACAAGGGGATGGACGAACAGAAGAGCGGATGCCTGGTCACAGGCTGTAAGCAGGAATATTCTCCTCTCCCCTCTCCTGCCCGACACATACACACACTAAAAAAAGCACATGGCAGCTCCCTTTAACATCTCAGGGACATGTGCAATTGTGTAATCTGTTTATGCCTCGTGCCAGCTCTGCTTACATTTATCTTCCTGAAACTACCTTGCATCTAGTGTGCTTGATTGCCCACACTGATGACTGAATAATGACATGATCATAGATTCCTAGAATACTTGAATTAGAAGGGACCTCGAGTGGGTCAGCAAGTCCCCTGGCAAGACCCAGCATCATCTAAATCATCCCTGACAGATGTCTGTCTAACCCGCTCTTAAATATCTCTAATGATGGAGATTCCACAACCCCTCTAGGCAATTTGTTCCATGCTCAGCCTCAAGGACCTGATCCTGCATGGTACTGGGTGTCCTGGGCTTCCACTGACTCCAATGGGAGTTGAGAGCCTTAAGCTAAGCTTCTACATCCATATTTAGACAGCTGAACAAGTGGGGTAATTTTTAAAAAATGTTGAGCATGCAGCAGGTCCCATTAACTTCAGTGGGAGTTTCTGGCTGCTCATCACTTTTGAAAATCAAGACCCTCCTTTAGGTGCCGAAATATGGATGGAGGAATCTAACTTTAAGCACCCATTTTTGACAACCTTGACTTGGTAATTTGTAGTTGTGTGGAAACAACTTCTAGGAATTTCCATGGTTCTTAAGTTTGCCATCCTTTTTAGATGACAGTTTTGTGGAAAACTATATACATCTACCTAGTGAAAGCTGTCTGTATATATAAAATCTGGCGCTATATTAATGTAGATTGCAACAGAGAATGAATCTGAGAAGCACAAGAGACTCCCAAGAGAGAAATGGGAAGTCTGAACAGCCCTCTCCTCTGTAAAGATGGAGAAAGCATTGATGAATGAAGAGTGGTCAAGGATCACGCAGTCTAGCAGTCCTGTTTCAACCTAGCAAATATCAGTAGAGCAGACAGGGATTATTGTCAGAGCTTTAGGAATGCAATCTGACTGTCCAAAATAAATAAATAACACATGCAATGAAACAGGAAGAAATAGAATTACTAGCAGCTCAGTGTTCACACTCTCAAATTAAGAAATGCTTTTTGACAGCTAAATCAACTACTTACACTGTGAAAGTGAAAACCGGGGACAAGAAAAACTCTGGGACAGATGCCAATGTCTTCATCATTCTTTATGGAAATAAAGATGACACAGGTAAGAACCAAGTACAGCGCCTGTATGAATGAAAGAGATGGTGTCCATGTCATTGGTATAACTGACTGAAATGACCAAAGAGAGGGGGGATTTTTGCTTGTCTCAATACAGTATTTGTTTTTAGTTAAGATGATGTCATATTATTGCCGTATGTCTTTATGCTTAACATGAAAGTCAGTGTTATTTAGCATTTTAGGTACTAGGAGCCTCAGCTCCTGCAAATCACTGCAGTTCTATGGACTAAAATAAAGCTAGGATAATTTATACCATCTGTAGATTTTACGGCACCACTTAAAAAAAATTTTTTTTTTTTTACTATAGCAGCCGAATTGTTGAGATCATAGAGTAAAACAAAGGCTAGGAATACAATACATTGGTCTGGGTCAACTCATTTGTATCCCAGCAAGGAATCAGCCCACTCTGGAAACCAGGCTCGCCTTCAACTGCTGAGACGTTGCAGAAATATTTGATCTGTTGATGAGCAAACCCTGTTGGGACTGACGCAATGCATATGTAGCGAAGTTTAGGATCTGTGAAAGTGACAGACGGTGAAGAGAAGTGTAGGGCAAGTCCCCTTACACAACTCAGAACACACCTGTTGCTGGACCTTCAACAGCGTATTTGCTGCAGCATTGAAGGGAGACATCTCAACTGAAGGGAGAAATTATGTGTATTTTGGGTAGTTTTGATACAATTGAAAATCTAGTGTTCAGTGTGACAGAGGACAGTTTTGAAGCCAAATCTCCAGGGGGGAGAGACCATTAATTACACTGCAGCCAAACCCCTAGTTCCTGTTTACAATCCCAAATTACTGATTTTTATCCACTGTCCCAGTGATGCTCAGAGAGCAGCTAATGAGCTACAAGTTGTTCTTTAATATGTCTCCTGTGGCTCTTTACAGCACATGATATTAAAGCACTTGTGATGTAATTATTAACCAACCCAAGTTATTAACCAGTCAGCCTAAGTGCTGAAAGTAGGGATGTAGGGGATGCTGCCACACCCCCAGACTTGAAGTGCTTTCCATCATATGCAAGTTTTACAGTTTGGTGCAGTGACTCTCAATCAAGATGCTTTTACTAAGTTGTTAGCCAATTGCAGTTGATAAAATAATAACCTTGGTCTATCAATTACTGTGAGAATAATTATACGTAGAAATCTATAGATACACATACACAAAGTAAATGAAACGATGAATTCCCACGACTGTGATACTGAGGTCTGAGTATCACTGGGACAGTGGATAAACAATGTCTGTATGTGCTGCAACCAACAGGGATAATCAATCTAAAGGCCTCCAAAACGAACAAGAACAAATTTGAACGAGGGAAGTTAGATGAGTTTACAGTGGAATCTGTGGACATTGGAGACCTGAAAAAAATAAAGATTGGCCATGATAATAAAGGTAAGATGACCTGTTATAATAACATGGCTTTCCTTTTTCCACATGGGGGAGGTTATATTTGGGAATACGAATTTCATCAGGTATTTATTAACATGCTGGACATTATCATCATGCTTGGTGCTTTGCAGACAAATAGGCCCTTTGCCCATGGCGCTTACAGTTAATGTAGACATGGTACAGCAGCAAACAACATGTAAAACCATGTAAATGGTGCTGAAGGACAACAGTTTTTGCATTGTATTGTAGGCAATAATATTATAGCAGGAGGAGTAGATGCTAGTCTGGAAAGGCAGATCAAGAAAAGTGAACCTTGCAAGGGTATTTCTGTACAAATCTATTTTTCTATAAAAGGGGTGATGCCAATCCTCTGTCTGGCTTTATAACCACCTTGTGGCTGATATTCCGGGCATTCCTACCTGACTGCTATGTTTTAAAATGATCTAGCTTTCAAAATGGGATCCCTAAATAATAAAGCCCAGGTGATAACATCACACAAATGGCCCAAGTTTTCAAAAGTGGCTGGTGGTTATAAGTGCCTCCAGTTTTGAATACCTAATTTCAGACATTTTAAAGGGGCTTGATTTTCAGAAAGTGCTGCAAAGCCTCCCTCTGGCTTTCTCTACACTGAACAATGTAAAGCTCAGCCACAGCAGAGCTTTAAACTGGAAGTGTGGCCACAGCACGAACGCTGGGAGAGCGCTCCCCCCGCCTCTATGTAAACCACCTCCACGGGGGGAGTAGCTAGTAGTGTGGAAAGCGCTGGTCTCAGGACTATAGCCTGGTTCACTCTGGCACTTTACAGTGCTGTAACTTGCTGCGCTGGGGTGGGGGGAGGAACAGGTGTTTTTTCACACCCCTGAGCCAGAAAGCTACATGCTGTATAGTGCCAGTGTGGACTTAGCATCAGATAATGTGGCCCATTTAGTGGCACACTGGACATTCAGAATGTGACACACCCAAACCTCTTGCCATTTTAAAAAAATGGCTTCAAGTTCTGGTAAAAGAAACAAAGGTGTTTGAGAGTCGAATGGTGATAGTCCAGCACTGCCTGGCCTCTGAGCTCTGCCTGTGTTCTGGCCCTGGTTTTAATTCCCTCTGGGACTTTGGGCAAGTCAGGCAGCAGTAACCTGCCTGCTCTGAATGACTATTTTTTGTAACACACAGGATAACACTCACCTCTTTCAGAGGCCTCTTGGGGAGGTTAATTAGTTCACATCTGTAAAGCACTTTGCTGGTGAAACACGCTATTCACTTTGAGTGTCACCTCTTCTTCTAGGTGGCTCCCCTGGCTGGTTTCTAGCATGGGTGGAAATTGATGCTCCATCACTCGGACAATGCCTGAAGTTCCCTTGTGGCCGTTGGCTGGATAAATCAGAGGACGATGGAGCCATTGAGAGAGATCTCTTCCCTGCAAAACTGCAGACAAAAGAATATGTTCCATGTATGTAGAGTGCTGCTTCCTCTCAGACATTGAATGGCTCATCTCTAAGCCCCCTTCCTATCCGTTTCCTTATTTCAGGGAGGTGGGAATCCATTGCTCTGTTTGTCACTCATTCACAACTTGGGGGCTCTTGTCACTTCTGCATCCATGGCATTTTTAAAAATCTACTCTTTCCTTTATTAGGAAAGACGTTCCAGTACTTAAGGTGCCAGCCTTGGAAATGGAGATCTATTCCTTGCCCTGCCACAGACTTCTCATGTGACATGGGCCAAGCTACTTTGCCTGTTAGTGTGCCTCAGTTCTCCATCTGTAAAATGTGGACAATAGGACTTCTCTTCTTCACAGGATTGTTATCAGGATAACTAACCTTAAAAACTACAAGGCACTTAAAAACTATGAGGCACACACATATGACAGTAAAGGAGACCAAAGAGCCACCATAGGTTTATGGATTCTTCCTTCTCTCCCCTGCCCAAACCCTGGTTCATGCCATCATTTTTTCTTATCTGGACTATCCTCCTCTCTGGCCACCCTGATTTCACTGTCCCCTCTTCATACTATCCACCAGTTAGCGGCAAAAATAATCTTTGGTGTCCCTCCCCCATTCCTTTTCCTCCTCTGCACTCAGCCCAATGCTGCAGCATTTAATTTCAGAAAGGGGAACTACACAAAAATGAGGGGGTTAGTTACGGTAAACAGAAATTAAAAGGTACAGTGTCAAAAGTAAAATCCCTGCAAGCTGCATGGAAACTTTTCAAATACACCATAATAGAAGCCCAATTTACTGTGTTTTTTAAATTAAGGGTATACATTCAAGAGAACCAAAAAAGTACCACCATGGCTTAACAACAAGTAAAAGAAGCAGTGAGAGATAAAAAGGCATAGTTTAAAAAATAGAAGTTAAATCTTAGTGACAAAAATAGAAAGGAACATAATCTCTGTCAAGTTAAGAGTAAAAATATAATAAGAAAACCTAAAAAGGAATTTGAAGAGCAGCTAGCCAAAAACTCAAAAAGTAATAGCAAAATATTTTTTTAAATACATCAGAAGCAGGAAGCCTGCTAAACAACCAGTGGAGCCACTGGACGATCGAAATACTAAAGGAGCATTCAAAGATGATAAGGTCATTTCAGAGAAACGAAATGAATTCTTTGCTTTGGTCTTCACAGCTGAGGATGTTAGAGAGATGGCCAAACCTGAGCCATTCTTTTTAGGTGACAGATCTGAGGAATTGTTCCAGATTGAGGTGTCATTAGAGGAGATTTTGGGACAAACTGAAAAATTTAACAGTAACCCGTCACCTGGACGAGATGGCATTCATCCAAGAGTTCTGAAAGAACTCAAATGAGAAATTGCAGAACTATTAACTATGGTTTTTAACCTATCCTTTAAATCAGCTTCTGTACCTAATGACTGGAAGATAGCTAAGGTAACACCAATATTTAAAAAGGTCTCTATAGGTGATCCTAGCAATTACAAATCAGTAAGTCTAATAGCAGTACCAGGCAAATTACAGCCGGTCCCTGAGTTGCAAACGGTCGATTTACGACCATTCGCATTTACAACCAAAACTCCCATTGAGCGGTCATAAAAGCGGTCCTCGAGTTATGAACGCGACCCACGCTTACGAACAGCGCAGTCGCAATATAACTCAATAGGGTCTGAGTTACAAACATTTCGAGTTATGGCAAGTGTTTGGTCCATAACTCGTTCATAACTCGAGGACAGGCTGTAGTTGAAACTATAGTAAAGAATAAAATTGTCAGACGCATAGATGAACATAATTTGTTGGGGAAAAGTCAACATGGTTTCTGTAAAGGGAAACCATGCCTTACTAATCTACTAGAGTTCTTTGAGGGGATCAACAAACGTGGACAAGGAGCATCCAGTAGATATAGTGTACTTAGATTGCCACAAAGCTTTTAACAATAGTTGACCCTCACCAAAGGCTGTTAAGTAGAGTTAGCTGTAGTGGGATAAGAGGGAAAGTCCTCTCATGGATTGATAACTGGTTAAAAGACAGGAAACAAAGGGTAGTAATAAATGGTAAGTTTTCCAAGTGGAGAGAGGTAACTAGTGGTCCATACTGGGACCAATCTTATTTAACCATTTTTATAAATGAACTGGAGAAAGGGGTAAACAGTGAAGTGGCAAAATTTGATACTAAACTGCTCAAGATAGTTAAGACCAAAGCAGACTGTGAAGAGCTTCAAAAAGATTTCACAAAACAATGTGACTGGGCAACAAAATAGCAAATAAAATTTAATGTTGATAAATGTAAAGTAATGCACATTGGAAAAAATAATCCCAGCTATACATACAATATGATGGGGACTAATTTGGCTAAAACTACTCAAGAGAGAGATATTGGAGTCATTGTGGATAGTTCTCTGAAAACATCCACTCGATGTGTAGCAACAGTCAAAAAAGCAAACAGAATGTTAGGAATCATTAAAAAAGGAATAGAGAATAAGACAGAGAATATCTTATTGCCTCTATATAAAACCATGGTACACCCACATCTTGAATATTGCATACAGATGTGGTCACCTCATCTCAAAAAAAGTTTCTTGGCACTGGGAAAGGTTCAGAAAAGAGCAAAAAAATTATTAGAGGTTTGGAAAGGGTCCCATATGAAGAGAGATTAAAAAGACTTGGACTTTTCAGTTTAGAAAATAGGATACTAAGGGGGGATATGATAGAGGTATATAAAATCATGACTGGTGTGGAAAAAGTGAATAAGGAAAAGTTATTTACTTGTTCCCATAACATAAGATCTGGGGGGCACCAAGTTAAATCAATAGATAGCAGGTTTAAAACAAACAAAAAGAAGTTTTTCTTCATGCAGCACACAGTCAACCTGTGGAACTCCTTGCCAGAGGATGTTGTGAAGAGCAGGACTTTATCAGGGTTCAAAGAAGAACTAGATAAATTCCTGGAGGTTAGGTGCATTAATGATTATTAGCCAGGATGAGTAGGAATGGTGTCCCTTGCCTCTGTCATAGGGTGGAAATGGATGCCAAGAGAGAGATCACTTGATGATTCCCTGTTCTGTTCACTCCTTTTGGGGCACCTGGCATTGGCCACTGTCGAAAGACAGGATACTGGGTTGGATGGACATTTGGTGTGACCCAGTATTGCCGTTCTTATATTCACTGACCATGGTGTTCCCTGTCTTACAAACATATTGTCATTTTATTTCTACATAAAACAATAGGGGTGGAAGAAAGGATGATGCTTGTATCCTTCCCCCCACCATCCCTTGTGCACTCAGTCTGCTGTCAGACACAACTGTCCCTGGGTTTGGAATAACACACGGGGTGAATTTTAATACATAGCAAGGCCTCTCCACACATAGATCACACTTCAGCCCTAAGGATCAACAGTGTCACACTTCCGCCTTATGGGACTTATGCAATGCGTAGTCCATGTACTTCAGAGGAGTGACTGTCACTCATAATACTATGGTTTTGCTTCTCACTGTGTTTCTCCTGAGCTGCGGTGTTAAATTCTTGATACCTAACTTGAGTGGGTAAATTATTAGGGGGTATTACATATCTTAAGAGTATCTGGAATGCCAGCTCTTCATGTACAGCAGAGCTAATCAACACATAGCCTGTGGGCCGCATGTGGCCTGCAGCCTGTTTGTTTGCAGCCCGCGGGTGAGAGCCAATACAAAAAAGTAGTCAATATAATGGTCTTCTGTTGATATGTGTTTTAGTAGTTACATTCCTAAACTGTCATTGCTCATTCAAAGTGCTGTCATATGGGTGGAAATCGAGTAAATATTGCATTTTATTAGTATCAGCAGAACTGATGTAAATGGGGCCTGTGTGTTGTATGGTCTTGCCTTAATCTTTGTATTCATGGCCATCAGTGTGAAAGAAGCTATTTGCATATATTTGCATGTATATGCAACCACACTTAAGTTGTCACCCTTGGCATGTGCTATGAGTATCATTATTGCCCCCAGGTATTCCAAAGTTACGTAGCCCTGATGTACAGTATGTTCAAAGTTAATTTGTGTCAGCAGCCCTTTTTCAGCATCTGCAACCAGCAATCAGGGCTATGTAGCAGGAGACTTGCAAGATTCTAGAACCAAACCTACTTAGTCCTTTGCTTAAATATATACATTGTACTATTCACAATATTCTAATTTCCCAATCATTAACCTGGTGATTTCAGATTGCCACTAAAATGGTCTGGCGTGTTTTGTTCAACATCTTCATTAATAGCCCAGATGATGGTTTGTTTTTGTTTTGGACTCTTAGCAAGTTTGTGAATGACAATAAGCTGAGGAGAGAGATGGATCTGCTGGACGGAAGGGATAGGAATCAGGGTGATGTAGACAGATTGGAAGCCTGGGCCACAAGCAATCTGATGAGATTCAACAAAGACAAGTACAGAGTCCTACACTTAGGATGGAAGACTCCAAGCAATGCTACAGGCTGGGGACCAACTAGCAGAGCAGTAGTAGTCCAGAAAAGGACCTGGAGAATGACAACAGACGAGAAGCTGTATATCAGGGGTTTCCAAACTTTTTGGCACAGGGACCAGTAAATCCATTCACAAGCTTTTGGAGGACCGGTAACATTCATTTGCATATTTGCATATTCATTAAGCAAATGATAAATATTCAAATAGGTTGTTTCTGGTCCTCCCAGAGCCCCCAGTATGAGCTTTAGCAAAGCTTTTGATACAGTCGCCCACAATATTCTTGCCAGCAAGTTAAGGGAATTGGTTAAATGGATTGTAAGATGGATAGAAAGCTGCCTAGACCAGGGTTTCCCAAACTTTTTACTTTAATTGAAACCTGTTTTTTTCCAGTACTGTTTTTTGCAGCCCCAAAATATAAATGCATTTTAAAAAAAAGAATTAAAAATGAATAAATTTTCAGTGTTTCACCTGGCTGCATCCTCCACCCAGCCTGGGCCAGGGCTTGGGAGACCCGGCGCCGCATGGACACTCCAGGAGGCGGGAGCAGGAGCAGATTGGGGGGG